CTCAAGGAGCAAATCAGCAAGTGCAAAGGCCCTGACGCAGGAACAGCTTGTTCTTGGGGAGGCCAGAGCAGGAAGGGCAGAGAGGCATGGGTACGTGGTCTCCTCAGATCCCTTGAAAGAATCTGGCTTAAATTCCAAGGGCCACAGAAAACTATTGGAGGTTTACGATAGGCATATTGACTTATACAGCAATTGCTCAATAAAGGCTTGCTGATGTCATTATAAATAATATATATCCCAGAGAGGAAGAACAGAGCCCCCAGCCCACAACCCTCTTCTTGGCCTTCCTCCTCCCTGAGGACCCAAGTGATCAGCCCCAAGCTGGAGGGAAGGAGGGAGGGCGGATTCTCTTTCCTCCATCCTGTTCCTTCGCTCTGGCCATTTCCCGTGCTCTCCTTGCCTGCGCCCCAATTAGCCAGCGAGGCTGACCGCCTGGGCTCTGAATGACAGACACCTCCTGTCACCCCCCGACGGGCAAAGAGATTAACTCAGAGCTTTGCCTGCTGGAAGAGAAGACAGGGAAGGGAGGAAGAGGGAGAGAACAACCAACCCTCCTCCCTCGAAGTGAGGTACCCCAGCACTTAGAAGGAAGGGGTGGTGGCCAGGGACCCTGCCCTCAGAGAGAAGCACTGCTTCCCACTCTCGAGATTGACTGAGTGTGCTTCACATCTGAGCCCTCGGCTGGCTCCAGGCCCAAGTGCCCAGGAAATACCTGTGGACTGACAGTGCTAAGCATTTGTCAGGCAGCCCCATTTGGTCCTCACAGCACCCTTGCTTTACCGAGTCCTCTAGGTTTCAGAAGAGGTCTTATGTGGCCCAGGTTGTCCTTAAACTCCCAGCCTGAAGCGATTCTCCTGTTTCAGCCTCCTTAGTAGCTGGGACTATATATGTTTGTGCCACATGCCCACATGTGATACCCTTATTTTATTTTATTATTTGTGGTGCTGGGGCTTGAACCCAGTGCCTTCGCACTGAGTTCTACTCTCAGACCTTTTTTAATTGTTTGATTTTTGACATAGAATCTCACTAAGTCACTAAATTGTCTGGATTCTTCCTAGAACTTATAATCTTCCTGCCTCAGCCTCCCAGAGTGCAGAATTACACCTGCATCACCATGTCCTAACATTCCCATCTTAAATTACAGGGAACTTGGAGGAGGATGGGCTAGTTCCAAGATCACAAGAATGGGCCAGAATTCGAACTGAGGCAGTTTGATGCCCAGGCCAAGCTTCTGGTGATTACACTGTACTCAGTGCATGCCGCTTAGAAAATTATAGTCTACTTTGGGGTTAAGAGATGAAGAAAAGGAAAATTAACACAATGGTTGTGGGCATACAACCATTTGTCAGGCTGCAAGTGACAAAAGCCCAGCACATACTAACTCAAGCAAAATTAGAAGCTTAAGCGGAATTGGAACATATTGAGACTCAAGTAAGGAGTGTTTGGCTTTGAGTACAAATTCGGCTTTCCTTTGCTAGGTTCACAGGTAGCTCTCCTCAAATGACGGTGGCCCCAAAGGGCCATGCCACAAGGTCAAACTCTCTCTTCTTCCCAATAATTCCATCCAGTGCCTTGGCATTCGACCTGATGGGTCAGGCCCAGTTTATCCATCTCTGAGCCAGTCAGTGTGGTCAAGGCAGAGGAGGTCAGCTGATTGGCCACCTTCCCCTCCCTCTAGAGCCCTCAGGCTGGTGGAAGATGGGAAGAATAGTCCATAGGGCATGGCTGGGCAGATACTGGGTACCTGTCAACATTAGGGTGCTATAGTCCTACGGATGGATTCTGGATCCTAGTTAATTCCTCCCTGGGCAAACTCAGCATCCCCATTTGTGTACATGACAGCCAGCAGCCCCATGCTGGCTAGCTGAGAGGAGATCCAGGAAGGACAAGAGTGTCATGAGGGTTTCTCCTCAAGCTTGGTTCCCCAAGTAGGCTCTGTGACTTGGATGACCCCTTGGGCCTGATTGTCTCTCCATCTATACCCTGCAGCCCTCAGCTGTTTTCTCTAGGACTGGTGTCATTACCAGGATCTTTATGTGCCTTTGACAAAGTAACCATCTTTAGAAACCCAAGAAAGACAGTCTTCCAACGGGAAACACTGGGTGACGGGAAAGACTTCCACAAGGACAGAGGGATACCCTCTCGTTGGAAACAGATATAGCTATCAGTCATGGGAAGCAACAGGACTGTCAAAGCCATAATGGCATATGTCTATAATCTCAGCTCCTGGGGAGGCTGAGGCAGGAGGTTATTACTTGAGCCCAGGAGTTTGAGACCAGGGTTACAAAACAAGACCATGTCTCAAATAAATAACTAACCAAGTAAAAATAAACAGTACCTTCAAGAGTTTGGTCAGCCTTCAATTACCAGTGATAGAGATTTGACACAACATTTAGGAATTATGGTTTTGTTTGTTTGTGTGTTCTGTGGTGCTGGGGCTTGAACCCAGGGCCTCCTAACACATGCTAGGCAAGTGTTGTATACACTACTGAGCTGCTTCCCCAACCCAAGTGACAGAGATTTGGAAATCATACTGACAAAGATTGGGGCTGGGGATTTAGCTCATCGGCATAAGCACCTGCCTTGCAAGCAGGCAGTCGTGAGTTCGATCCCCGGTACAAGAAAAAAGAAAAAAAAAAAAAAAAAGGGTACATACTGACAAAGATTTACAGTGTAGTGGGCTGGGTAGAGTTGAGCTTACTCTCCACAGCCTTGGTTCTCTCATCTGTAAAATGGGGATAATGCAAGGAAGGCCTGACCTCAAAGAGTAATACTGTTCCCATAAGATAACTCCTGGCATAGCAACTCTCCCATACAGGGACAGCTGTTGCTAGTAGTACTGAGCTCTGTCTGAGCCTGGCCCTTAGCCTGGAGCTCAAGACAACCCTTTCTGAACCTTAGTTTCTCCTTCAACCCTGTCACCCCTAGAGTGGGTGACTTGGATGATCTCACTGAGGGGAGGACCCCTCCCACATGGGTCAGTGGGGGGGCTGTGGGGGGGTAGGGAGAAGGCAGTGCCCAACCAACATTTTCACCAGGCTGGGCAGGCAGCGCCAGGCAGGCGGGAGCTGGTCAGGTTTTTAATTGAACGCGATGCAAATGAAATGTAAATACCATGCAAATAAGCTCTTGCCAGGAGGCGCTGGGCCTGGAATGGAGGGAGCAGGGAGGGGACTGCTGCGCAGGCCCTGCCTCCCCCCCCACTTTCTCTCATCTATGCACGCCCACCCCCTGGTGTTGCCCACCCAGCCAGACCATTCCATTTAGCAGAACAACCAAAAGAGCAACACTTCATCTCCCTATGACCCTCTCTGAGAGTGGGGTGCTCAAGGAGGAGCCAGGGACCCAGTGGATGGGGCAAGGGCAACAAAGACATAGTTACAAGAGCCCCACTTAGACCCATAAGGAGCAAGTGGATATAGACAGGCGGAAATTCATATTCCTACCCTGGGCCCCTGCCACACTGAGACCCACTCAGGGACAGCCAGTCACAGTTACACATAAATATATACTAGTGCACATTCAGTCGTAAATACACACAGCAGCACAAACAGACCCAGTCACAGGAACACGTGCGAGCATGTGTGTGTGTCTGTGTGTGTGTGTGTACGCGCGCGCACGCACATATACACATGGCCTGTTGTCATGAGGCCTGCAGACCGAAGTCCCTGTGCTGGCTGGAGCTTAGACAGGGTGGGAGTTGGGGGTAGGACAGGCACCCTGTGTGGTCAGAGCCTGGTGGCCTGAGTAAGGCCAGACAGGCAGTCTGGGGTGAGGGATCTCCGAGGTGGCCTGGGCCCTTTGCCCAGCCCCCATCCCAAGACATATGACCTACCCTACCATAAGCCAGGGCTCATTACCACTACACTTCTCAGATTTGCTCTATGCTCAGGTCCCTGGGGCACTCAGGACCCCATCCTGCTAGTTGGAGTCCTCCTGTGGTCCCCACAGTCCCCATTCCTGAGTCAGCTAACCGATTTGTTTTTTATTTTGGTTTTGTTTCGCTTTGTGTTTCAGTTTTTGGCACAGGATCTTGTGATGCAGTTCAGGAGGGTCTTGCTCACTTTGCAATTCCATCAATCCTCCTGCCTCAGCCTCCTAAAGGATGGGATTACAGGCAAGTGCCACCACACCCAGTGCAGCTAGCCACTTGACCCAGGTGACAGCATCACCCTGCCTAGGGATGAAGAATGAAGTGCAGGGGAGTGGGGTAAAGGCTGCCCAGTTTGGACAAACCTCCATCCCGCCCTCCACATCTGGAGGTGGTTCCAGCCCCCTCTGAGGTGATTCACGCCCTCCATTTAACTCTCATTAGAGCCTCTGAGCACAGCTGGCAGGGAGCTCTGGGTGGGCCACCCTTGCAGCCTCAGTTTCCCCCAGGGGCCCGGCCTGGAACAGGGACTGCTGCGTGGGAGAGCTCACAGAGTCCCCTTGGCCTCCGCGAGGACTGTCCTCCACCCCATGGAATGAGGGACTGGGTGTAGCCTCTTCCAGGAACCACCGTCCCCAGGCCCCACCGGATGCAGATGCACCGCAGCTCTCCATGTCCCCAGCCTCAACCCCGGCCCAGAGGTCGCGAAGGAGGCAGGGAAGCAGACAGCGCAGGACTCCAGGAGGCCGGGTAGCTAGGTCGACTTGCTGGCCTGGGCAGGGGTGGACGAAGATGGGCCAGGCCGCCCCAGTCCACCTTCCTCCTCCCACCTCCCAGGCCAGCCCGGCCGGCCGAGTCCTGGGGCTCCGCGGCGCGTTCGGGCGTGCGAACCCCACCGCCCCGAGGGCCGGGTTGCGCCGGCCTGCGCTCCCTCCCGCCCCTCCGGCTCTGTGGGAAGCAGGCAGCTGGGGCGGGGGTGGCCGCGGGAGCGTCTTGCCGGTGTGATCGTGCCGAGCGGGAATTCGGGGCCATGTGGGAAAGACATTAGTGCCGGCCTCCCTGCCAGCCAGGAATGCGCCCCCCGCTCCGCAGCCGCCGCCTGCCTGGCCCAGAAACGGTGGTGACTCACCCGCTCCGTGTTCCCACCCCCTCGGCGCGCACCCTCCGCAGCCCACCACGGGCGCAGGACTTCCCAGCCTCGGCCTGGGCTCCTCCGCCCTGTACCTGCCTGGCCCATCCTCCACTGGCTCAGCCTCCTGGAGTACTGAGCCAGATCACACCTCCCGGGGCTCCACACACACACCGGGGCTGGCTCTTCCATGGCCATGCTCTGATTAGAACACTCCTTTGGGATCTCCGTGCTGGGCCAGGCTCCTGCGCTCCGGAATGACTCCCCTGGGGGTTGAGGAAGGGCTATACCCAGCCCAGGGGGCTGGCACAAAGGGCAGGTGCAGAAAAAGAAGAGTCCAAGAAGCCTCTTCAGATTGAGGAGCAGAGTACAGTAGTATTGTGTGCCACTGCTGGCCCCTTTGAGGGCTGCTCCTCTTTGAATGATAAAGCAAGGCCACCCACCCCATGTGCTGACAGGGGTGGTCTATACAGAAGGCACTGTCTGTTCAGTCCGGTTTGAGATAAGCTAAGAAGTCACGGTCATTTAATCATCACCTACTATGTGATACAAAGTATCCGCTGGGTACTTTATAGACACTATCTTTTCTGTTTGTTTTGTTTTTCTTTTTTTTCTTTTTGTTTTGTTTTGTTTTTCTTGGTACTGGGATTCAAATTCATGACCTCACTCTTACCAGGTAGGCACTGTGCTGCTGAGCTCTATCCCAGCCCTTTTCTGTTTGTTTGTCTGTCTGTTTGTTTTTGTTTTGAGGCAGGTCTTGCTATGGAACTGGCCTTGAACTTAACTCTGTATCCCAGGCTGGCCTCAGAATTGCAGCAGTCCTCCTGCCTCAGCCCACCACGCTAGACATTTTAATCTAATCCTTGCCACAGTTTTATGTGGTAGATTCTGCTGTTACCTCTTTTGTACAGATGAAGAAGCATTAAGGCACTGCAAGAGGAAGGTACTGACCCAGAGACCAGGGACAGGCAGAATTTAGGCCCAAACGCTTGCCGTAGTCTCCCTCTTCCAAACCTAGCTCCAGGTGCCAGCCCTTTGTGGCCCCGCCCCCACCCAGGCCACCTCTCATAACTTTTAATAAGAGGTAATAGCACCAAGCAGCGGGCATCAGCTTCATTTTTAATTATCTAATTTACATTTAATTTTCCCCACCAACTTGATGCCGTTTATTAATGTTTTACCTACAAGCATCCATTCGTGAACTGAAAACATATTCAAACAACTAATGAGCATTGTTTCTCTTTTGGAGAAGGCCCCTAGGTTAGAGTAGGGGACTCCAACTGGAATGTTAGGGCCCAAGATCCAGCACCCAACATAGTTCTCAATACTAGAACAATTAATAAGCAAATGTCCCCCAGTGTGTCTTTCAGAGCATGCTTCTTTCCTGCCAGCCTCCAGAAATAACAATTATTCTGCCACATATTTTATGAGAGTATCTCAATTCATCTTTATATTTACCCTTACCGACAGATTTGTTGTTGTTAATGTTGCTGTTTGTCTTTGTCTTTTTGAGACAGGGTCTTGCTGTGTAGTTGAGGGCGACTTTGATCTCATTATGTAGTCCAGGCTGGTCTCCAACTCATGATGATCCTCCTGCCTCATCCTCCCCATTGGTAAGAATACGGGGGTGCACCATTCCAGCTAGACAAATACTATTAAACACCTGTTTTACACTTGGAAAAACTGAAAGTCTCAAAAGATAAAGTGTTTTTCCCAGTCACACAGCAACTGAAGGTAAGTGCTGGCCTTGTCAGCTTAAGGATATGACTCCAAGTCTGCTGTCCTGCAGGACTGGGCAGTGTTGTTAGAGGGCCCATGTGCTGTTCCTGCAGCTGTCAACTCTGGACTTTGAGAGCTTGGGTCTGTGGAGAAGGATGTCTGTGGCTTTTAAGATGTCTCTGGGCTAGTGACGAGAACTAGGGAGCTAGTGGCTTGGGTACCACAGTAATGGGCCCCCAAAGTCTGACCTTTCAGACTTCCGTGTACCCGGTGGCTGTGATTTCAAGGGTAGATTTCCCTGGTACCTCCAGGAGGGTCCTAGAAATTTCATGCAACTCCAGCTTTTCCTTCACCAGCCCCAAGATGAAGTCAGTCTCATTTATTTGTTCATTTAGTGGTCCTGGGGATTTAACTCAAGGCCTTTACACTGAGCTACATACTCAGCAATTTTTTTTTTTTTTTTTTTTGGTACCTGGAATTGAACTTATGACCTTGTGCTTGCCAGGCAGGCCCTTGTGACTCTCAGCTAAATCCCTGGGCTCCATATTCAGCTTTTTTTTTTTTTTAACATTTTTTTTGTCTTTTTCTTTTTTTATCAGAACCAGGGATCAAACTCACGACCACACACTTGTAAGGCAGGCGCTTATGCCACTACGCTAAATCCCCAGCCCCCCATATTCAGCTTTTTTAAAAAATCTTTTTGAGAGAGGGTCTCCCTATGCAGGCCTTGAGCTCACTTTGTAGCTCAGGCTGGTCTCGAACTCACACCAATCCTCCCGCCTCAGCTCCCCGAGTGCTGGGATTACAGGCATGAGCCACCACGCCCAGCTCATATTCAGCTTTTTAAATTTATTTTTTATTTTTGGAGATAAATTCTCACTAAATCACTAAATTTCCCAGGCTGCTGTCCAACTTGAAATCCTCCTGCTTCAGCCTCTGAGAGTGCCGAGATTACAGGCACATGCCACCACTACTGGCTTTTTGTTTTATTTTGTTGCTGTTTGTTTTTGAACCCAGTCCCAATATGTAGTTCAGGGTGACTTTGAACTCATGGTGATCCTCCTGTCTCAGCCTCCTGAATGCTGGGATTGACAGGCACATGCCACCATGCTTGGCCCCAGATCTACTTTGTAACAAATGTCTGGTGGCTCCAGAAATTCATGGCCTCTTCACAACAAGAAAGGGCCAATTTGGAACCCAAAGCCTGAGCTACCCTTGCCTCTCCAGCCTCCGTGTGCTTATCTAGAAAAAGGAGATTCTGACCCAGTGCATGAGCAGCTCAGAGCGCTGTCAGCCCTGCTATAGTGGATATGGGTCAGCCAGGGCTTTGACCTGCTCCGTTCCTGAACCTCCCCTCTTCCATGTAGCTCTCTAATTTTTTTTTCTTTTTCTTTTTTTTTTTTTTTTGGTACCGCGGATCAAACTCACGATCTCGTGCTCGCCATACAGGTGCATATACTGCTGAGCCAAATCCCCAGCTATGTAGCTCTCTAATTATACAAAAAGGGAAATCAAGGCCCAGAGAAGCCAATGAACTACCCCAAGACAAAATAGCTAGTCAGATGTGGAAATGAAACTCAGGTCTTCCAACTAGCCCAGGTCACTGAGAGGAGGGACTTTGAAACTTGGATGTTAAATGGCACAGCCTGGCCTAAACTGGGCCTGTGTGTGTGTGTGTGTGTGTGTGTGTGTGTGTGTGTGTGTGTGTTGCTGGGGGCAGGGGGGACGGTGGACGGGGTGTCGAGGGAACTGCTGCTGCCGCCTCCCTGGTATTTTTAGCCTCAAGAATGAGCTGAGCTCAGGGCTTCAAGCTCCCATCAGCACTGAGGGAAATGGGAAGGTCCCCATCTTCCTCCCTCCCACCAAAAGCCCGAAGCTGGGTTGAGGAAGGGTGGAGCTGAGGAGAGACTGGGAGTGCCAAGGCCTGGCCCTCTGTACCCCAGCCCACCCCATCCTGGTCATCCTGCCCATTCCCGCTTCCCAAGAGGAAGCCATGCTGGCAGAAACAGGCACCTGCATCTGCCCCTGCTACCTTTGGCTTCCCCTGCTAGGAGCTCCAGGCCAGTACCAGGTCAGAGCTGCAAGGTTTCCATGACAACGGATGATAGCAGCAGAGGCTGCTGGCCACCAGGTCAGGGGTAAGGGGGGTGTGGGTCGAGCAATAGGAGAAGAAAGGTGGGCCAGTAGGGAGGTGAGTGAAAGGCACCAAAATTGTAGCCCCTCCTGATCCTTGGAGCCTCAGGAACCTTGGCTAGTTATTATGGCTCATATCTTGATGTTCCCCAAAAGCCTCATGCACTCATAGGTGGGCTTTTGCAAGTGACTGGATCATGGGTGTATGGTACTGGATTAGCCCACTGATGGGCTTAGCATAGTTTGGGGTATAATGGAGTGGATTTACTAAAACTGGAAGACCCACCCTGTGGCACCAACCAATAGGCTTATAGCCTGCATGGGATAAAAAGAACAAGCAGGTGGAAGACTGCTGCTCCCTGCCTGCCACGGCATGGGTGGTTTCTCCTTGTCGTGCCCCTCTGCCATGCCACCCTGCCTGAGAACCAATGAACTTTGGACTGGAACTTCTTCAAGCTATGAGGCCAAATCTCTCCAGGGCCGGAGATTTAGCTCAGCCGCTTAAGCACTTGCCTAGGAACTGTGAGGTCATGAGTTTGATTCCCAGTACCAAAAAACAAAAGAAAAAGAAAAACAAACCTCTCCTCCTTTGTGGGTGCTGGCTGTTTCATCTCAGCAATAAGAAAGTAACCAAGACACTGACTGATGCTAGAAAGTACTCCATGGCACTGATTAAGAAGGCTGGGGGGCTGGGGGTTTAGCTCAGCAGCATAAGCACCTGCCTGGCAAGTATGAGGTCATGAGTTCGATCCCCAGTACAAAAAAAAAAAAAAAAAGACTGGGTCCAGGAAGGGCCGGCTATGCCTTTGGTCACAAGACCATGAACTCAGCTATAGATAGAGTTTGAAACTCTACTAATTCTAGAATAAGGTCTCAGGGTTTGAGATGTGCCCTATCTCCATACTTTAATAGGTCCTGAAGTCCTTCAATCATTATAGCTCCCCAGAACACACACACACACTTTTTTTTTTCTTTTCTTTGTACCAGGGATCAAACTCACAACCTCACCCTTACCAGAATGGTACTTGTACCATTCTGGCACACACACATGCACACACATTTTTGACACAAGTGCTTACTACACAGTTCATGCTGGTCCTAAACTCAGTATGTAGCTCAAACTGGCCTCCCAGTCTTGGTAACCCTCCTGCCTCAGCCTCCTGAGAGCTGGGATTACTGATACAGTACCACAGCCAGCTCTTCAACCTGGATTTTAGCACATCCAAAGACTGCCCATATTCATGCACCATCCCTGGCTCTGTCTCCTAGACGATGTACTCCTTATCCTAGACCTTGACCCACAGCATTCCCTGGGCTCCCTTTGATGTGGTCTCCTCATTGCCCCGGAAGTGCCAGTCCCCAACCCTACTACAAATGTGGTGTGGTCTCTCAGGACCCAGCTGTACTCACACCTCCTCTAGGAAGTCTCCATGTGCATCTTTTGCTCACCACAAGTGTCCTTTACAAAAGACTTCACATTCCATTGTACCTTACCTCTTAAGAATGATGTCACAGATGATCAATAAACTGAGGCTGAGGGAGAATGGCCTTTTGCAGCAGGTCATGTAATTTGTATCCACACAGTGTCTTGCTCCAGGGCTCTTTCCTTCTGTTCCTGAGCAGGGCCAAAAGGAATTCCGGACTCCTTGGCAGTCATCAGCCCGTGGCATGCAGTTGGGATCCTTAAGCTCAGACCTGACCATCTTACCCTGGGCCCTTGTATACAAAAGGCCAAGCCATGCCCTGCCTCCCAGGGTATTTACTCATCTGATGCCATGAACCTCCAACACTTGTCAGCAGACATCACCTCCATCCCAACTCTCCATCTAGTTGGAAAGTCAAGCAACTGAGCAGATAAGTTTGCCCAGTGGATGGGAGGACAGGAGCTGGGCCATGCTACATAGAAGAGGGTCAGGGTCCTCAGTCCAGACTTACAAATGAAGCAGACTCGGCCTCCCTTAGGTCGGTCTACCTAGGCAGCTTTATTGCTGTGCCTAACCCCATCGCACTGCTGCAACCCCTCAAAGACTGTTTTGCTTTTGCTATTTTTTTTTTTTTTTTGTCGGTACCAGGGATCGAACTCACGATTACCTGCTTGCAAGGCAGGTGCTTATGCCGCTGAGCAAAATCCCCAGCCCCTGCTTTTGCTATTTTTGAATTATGGTCTTGCCATGTAGTTCAGACTGGCTTTGAACTCACTATGTAGCTCAAACTGGCCCAAGTTTGCAGCGATCCTCCTGCCTCAGCCTCCCGATTGCTGGGATCACAGGCATGTGCCACCACAACTGGCTCTTTCCTTATAGGCATTTAAATGAGCGATGGCTTTTCACCGCCTAGGCTAGATGCCAGGGCTTTATCTACCAGTGAACAGCCTGTGGCACTGCAGTCGGGATCCTTAAGCTCAGACTTGACCATCTTACCCTGGTCCCTTGTATACTGTTTCTCCCAGAATTTCCTTCTCCACCATCCCATAGTCTTCAGCAGGGGTGAAGGGCTAACAAGCCACTGGATCCACCACATCTTCTTTGGGCCCCCACATAAACACTTCAGGTCCAGGGACTTCCTGCAATGCTCCCCAAAGCCAGGTCTGCTTTAGGGAACAGAGCAGCCACTGGAGTTTTGAGAGTCCACAGGGTCAGTGAAAGGGTGGCAGGGAAGCCAGGGTCAGCACCTCCCTGCCACGCTGAGCCAGAACCCAAAACCAGAGAGGAAAAAAAGACTGCAGGATTGCTTGTTTTTCAGGATCCCTGAGGGCCACCAGCAGAGGAAGAGAAAATGAGAAAGGAACTCTGTCCAGCTCCCCAAATCCTCCCACGAGTTTGCACTGGGAGCCGTGGGGGCTGGGGGAAGCGGGACAGACTCCTGACCCAGGACCCTGTGGCCTTCCTGGGGGAGGGGGTCGAGCGCTGGGCACCCTCGTGATGAGGCCGCTGCAGGGCGATTAATCTTGTGAGGCCTGTGCGTCAGCCTCCCCCCACCCCCCGCCGCCCATGGCCAACTCCGCCGCCTACCCTGGGAGTTAATCTCCGCTTGGGGGACTTCTCAGCGCTGTCACTGCGGCATTAATTCTGAGGCAGAGGGAGGCAGGAAGGAGGGAATACAGTCGGGAGGTGGATGGTCTCCTTGAGAAGGTTTTGTGATCAGCAGCTGGTGATAAACAGTCCCAAAGGACAGGAACCAGGTCCCTTTCAAGGTCCAGTCTTGGACGATAATTGGGGGCCATCCATGTTAGCCCTTTCAGACCATCAGAGCCCTTGTACCCCCGGCCTCTAGCCTGGTTGTCCACCAGCTGAGCCCCAAATGCAGTTTGCAGTTTTGACAGCAGATGTCTCTGCTATTATGATTTATCAAAATACTTAAGGTAAATAATACACACATATTTATAGGAAGGGGGGCTGAATAGGGTAGGGGCTTAGAGGTGCACCGCTGCCTCTCCTCAGCCCTCCATAATCAGGCCCAAAGGTGGACCCAGCCTGGCCCTGAGAGTAGACTGGGGTGACATGAAGCCTGTGCCCAGCATAGGCCCAGTGGGGCCCCCAGGAGGGCAGAGTGAGGCAGCCAGTGGCTGGACCTGTCTTGCTGGGCCCCCTGCCAGGCTTGGGAGGTGGCCACCTGGGGGAAGAGGCTGAGCCAGCCTCACACCTCAGTCATGTTTCCATGGCTTCGCTGAGTCCCTGCTCCCAAGGGCTCGTCGCCTTATCAACAGCAGCCGGCACTGTTCTTACCCTCACCCTCGAAGCCACCCCCACCCGACCTCCAATAGCAGCCTGTCCATCCCACTGCTGTCCACTGCTGTGCAGCAAACTCAGCCCCAGAGGGTGCCCCTCCTCAGCAGGCTTGAGGGGACAGGAGCTCCTGGGAAGGCTGGGCAGCACGGGCAGGCAGAGGGACAGGAGCCCATGAGACAGTGCACACTGGGCCCCAGAATGCCCAGCCTGTCACTCTAAGCTGCCCTCCCGTCTCTTACCATTTTTTCCCCCTTTACCCTTACTCTAGGTGTTGTTTCCAATTTTTCAGGGCTTGACAACATATAGCTAAAAAATTGTATTGGATCTTCTTTTTTGGGGGGAGGGTATTAGTGGATATTCTGATTTGGAAAAAAATATGTTCAATGTAGAGAGGGGGGGGCGGATGGAGGAGAGAGAGAGAGAGAGAGAGAGAGAGAGAGAGAGAGAGAGAGAGAGAGAGAAAGGGAAAGAACAAACTTCCAAAACTCAGAAAATGTTGAGGGCATGCTCAGAGGTAGCAATGGGGGTAGGGGATTCCTTCCAGGCTGAAGCATAACCAGGTAGTTGAATAAGGCCTAATTTAGAAAGCAGAGGAACCTGGTTGTGTGATCTTCCATGTTTCCATTTGTGAGGCTTGACTGTTTCATCTATAAAATGGGAACAACTGATTTTTTTTTGGGGGGGGGTCTTTTTCCTTTTTATCGGTACTGGGGATTGAACTCACGACTGCCTGCTTGCAAGCCCAGCCCCCGAGAATAACTGATTCATGCCCTCTTCATGAAGCTGTAGTGGGCACACTGAATGCAGTGAATTGGCTCCATGGTTGGCCCGTGTGCTAGGAGGTCAGAAGACAGCGTCAGCACCTCCAGCCTAAGGCAAGCAGGCTTATCTGTTTGCAGTGCTGGCGATCAACCCTGGGCCCTACATTCCCAGCCCCAGGGCACTATTTTAGTTAAATTTTCCTCATCCATGGACAATGTCCTAGTCAGGGCTGGAAATGTGCACTTAGGGAAAAAATGTCCAGAAAAGAGATACAATAATGTGTTTGTTCAGCCCACAGAAGTTTTTCACCCATTTAGGTGCAGGGTGTCAGCCCTCTACCCACTGGTGGGCAGGTGAGGGGTAGCTGACATCCAGAGCCTCCACACTTGCTACCTGCCTAGCCCTTCTTTGCTAGAAATTGAAATGTCTTGCTTCAGCCTCCCAGAGCGCTTGGACTATAGGCATGGATGTACCACCTCAACCTGGTCATTACTCTTTTAAAAAGGGGCAGAGTGATCTCGAATCTCACCTGCTATGAAGCATGGGGCTGCGGCAGTGACCACCTGAGCCCTCAGATCAAGTGGCACCAACCCAGTGGCTTTGCATCCAAGCCTGGAGCCCTGGAGGCCAGCGTGGCTCTCCTGGGCCCGCCCTATCTTCACGCCCTGCTGCCTGGAATCTGAGGCAGCTGTTGTTCTCTGGCAGGAGGGGAAAGGAATTTAATGCTGCAGAGATGGCAGGTGGATGGGCAGACAGATCAAAGTGTCCACTCTAGCAGCCTCAGGAGACCATCCTGTGTCCCACCATCCTTCTAAGCAAGAAAAACCCTTAAGACAGATGTTACCTTTGGAGATAGGACTCCAGGCAGGACTGTGTGACCCTGGGGAACAGCAAGGCCTATGTCCTACTTCCTGTCTCCAGGTTGTTTGGGCCAAGGTCTATAGTACTATCAGGCTGTGGCCCCCCTTGTTACTCCCCCAACCTTGGCTGTTATCAGCAGTGGCCTGTTGGCCCAGGGCTGTAGGTGGGCAGTGGGGGGGACAGCAAGGCCTGTGCAGTGACCTCCACTGTCCATCCATCCATCGCCGGGATGGGAGTTGCTGCTGCAATCAGGTCAGAGCCTCAAGGCCCTACTTATAGCCAGCCAAGTATCGCCATCACCGTCTTCCCTGTGGCAGTGTGAGCTGGGCTGAGACTGGGAATGGAGGCTGGGCCCAAATGCCCAAGAAAGGTGGAAGAACCCACATGTGCAGACTTCCAGGCTCCTTCCCCATTCATCTAGACAGCTGATTCTCTTCCCAGTGCAGCTAGGAGCCTGGTTCTAATCAGGGTACTGCTGTTGGGCAAGCCACGTACTCTCGGGTTTCAGCTTCTCATTTATGTAAGAAGCAGTGGGGCTAGGTGTGGTGCTGAACACCTGTAATCACAGGACTGTGGGGGACTGAGGCAGGATGACTGCACAGTTTAGGCTCAACTTGAGCAACTTAACAAGACCTTGTGTCAAGATTTAAAAAAAAAAATGGCTAGGGATATAGCTTAGTGTGAAGGCCCTGGGTTCAATATCCTGCATCAAAGAAAACAAAAGATAAATAAGGTAAAAATCTCTGTTCAGATGACTTCTTAGAGCCAAAGAACGAAAGTTACTCAACAAAGTAAAACTGTTCCAGACTCAAGACTAAGCTTCCCGTTAGCCTTGGGCCAAGGAGAACATCCTACAGCCAGCATAGCTCACAGCCCACACTCCATCCACAGGGGCCTTTCTGCTTCCTTCTTCCTGCTGAGCATGACCAGAGCAGACTCACAGCAGAGGGACAAAGGCCCTGTCTGGAATCCTGAGTCCGGCCCAACACACGGGACAGGGACTTCAGTCTGGGGGCCAGGGATAAGGGTGGCTAGAGACTAGGTCAGGCCAAGCCAGGCTGCTAAGAGGGAGGGGCGCCTGGCAGGCGCTGGGCAGGCCGGGTGGGGGAGGCCTTCGGCGGCCACAGAGAACAAAGAGACTGGGGTTGCCAGGATATTCTGTGTAGCTGAAGCAGGCAATGATGGGCTTGGGAGAGGGGTTGTGGCGGTCGTGGGAACTGTGCCTGCTGCCCTCACACCAGCTCCCCCATGCAGACGGGGCCTCAGGACCAGCGAGGGGATGGGGTAGGGTAAGAGACCGCCAGACACCACGTGCTTTCCCCGAGTTGCAAGGCTGTCAGGGCAAAGACCCAGGAAACGATGTAGTCATAGACGTGGCAGCGGTGTCCGAGTCACAGAGATCACAAGTCCATACTTGTGATCACAAGTCCATACGATGTCATGACCACACACTCCGCGTCAGTCAAGGTAGCATCAGAAGGTCACACTGTCACATTTAATGCCACACATAGATTCATCTAGTTTTGTCACAGGGTGATACAATACCATACAACTGTGTTGTATATCCAATGTCAGACATGCATAGAATCATCCAATGTCACACATTTAATCCAGTCACACTGGGGATATTATAGGATTGCAGAATCTCAGGATTTGCTGGGTGTGGTGGTGCCCTGTAATCTCAGCACTTGGCAGTTGAGGCAGGAGGATCGACATGAGTTTGAGGCCAGCCTGGGATACATAGTTCAGTTCAATGGCTAAAAAGGGGGAGTAGGGACTTAGCTCAGTACGTAAGTGTCTACCTGGCAAGCACAAAGCCATGAGTTCGATCCCTGGTACAAAAAAAAAAAAAAAAAAACCCAAAAACAGAACAAAACAAACCCCCACAGGATCACACAAGCAGTGTCAGCATATCCCAAAACATGGCCATTGACCTCATATACTAACCCAGGGCCACATGAGGTCTATCATGGTCTTTCATACAGCTATAAGCCCATTTTCATGTCACAGCTACACTGCTGCACAAGGCTTCACAGGGCTTTCAGGGCCCTAAAGCATCTTTTTTCTTTTCTTTTTTCTTTTCTTTTTTTTTTTTTTGTGGTACTGGGGACTGAACCCAGGTTGTTGCTAAGTTACCCAGGCTAGGCTTAATTTGTGATCCTCCTGCCTCAGCTTCCCTGAGTGCTGGAATTGGAAGTTACATCTTTTCCTCTCTCATACACACATGACCCATGCAGAGGATGTGTGGAGACTGAAATTATCTTGGAGAGTGGTTACCCAGCTTCTTGAACCCCTTCTTTGCCACCTCCAAAGCTGGTCCTAAATGTCAGACCACCCTGGTGGGGGTGGGGTGAAGGCTCTGAGGGTCACTACTGCAGGCTTTCATTTGCAGTAGCAAGCAGCCCAGGAACCCTCAATCATGACAAGTAGTCAGCTGGGGGACAGCAGCAGGAGGACTGCAACAGGACACAGGTGTGAGGCAGAGATGTGGAGCCAGAGACAAAAACACCAATAGCAGAGGAAAAGAAGCCACAGGACTGAGGCCACGCCTGGTCAGGGAGGGGGCCGGGCTTTAGGGCAGAAGGTAGGCGACATCTTGGAGAGATTTAGTTGAGTACATTTCCAAATCACAGCAGCAGTCCCACTGACTGAGTGCTTATTACACAGGCTTGCACAATTTCAGTTGCTCCTCAGGCTACTTTTTGGGATCAACTATGGCCCTTTTGCTGATGAAGTAGCTGAGCCCACACTAGGGGCGGGCCTCACAGCTATCCCTTCCCCTGGACTCCTCCAGACCCCAGGGGCTGGGCTTCCATTTCTACAAAGCAGAGCAGAAGCTGGAAGAGGTGAGCGGCTTTGAACTTCAGACATCTCTGCTGGGAGGGGGCTGGAGACTCAGACCGGGCTGTGGGCTGGCACAGGAAAAGGCGCAGGCCGGCTGAGTCACAGAACCCCCCTGGAGCTGGCACCAGAGCCATCCACCCCACACCTGCAGGCTTGCCAATGAGGGCTGGCCGAGGCCATCTGCAGCCCGTGTGCTGCCAGCAGGGTGGGGGCAGGCAGAGGCCTCCAGCCCAGTGCCCTCTGGTGGCCAGGATCCCCCCACAGCCCAGGGGAGGACCCTCCCCACCTTGAAGTTCTTCAGGTGCTGCAGTTTGCCTGGTGCTGGGAGTGAGGGTGCCCCCCAGCTGCAACACCTCCCCTGTTCCCTGCTGGACACCCCCCTTCGGCAGAGCCGCCTGGAGAGATCACAGGCAGCCACATGAAAGGGAATTTTCCCAGGCAGAGATGCAGTTGAAAGCTGCCTCCCTCCACCCCCATCAGCCCCTGCTGTGCCAGGCCAGGCTGCTGAGCCCATGGTGCTCCAAGGGAGCCTGTGACACCTGGGAAAGTGCTGTGGGTCATCACCCCCTACACACACGCTTTCTCCTTCCAGGAACAATAGCAGAGACAGCCAGTCTCCCCCACCTCACCACCCACTCAGCTTAAAAAGTTGCCCCTTCCTTTGTTCTGAAATCGTTCACCCACCTGAAAGCCAGGTTCCAACAGTCAGGAAGTTCTTCTTCAAATCTAGCCTCCATCTCCATCAGGGCAAAGCAACTGGGTAGAAGGTTCTAGCACTCGATAGATAGGCCTCTGTGATGTGTAGGGAGGGGCAGGCAACTGTCACTTCTTCCTATCCAGTCTGCCCAGCCTCACCCACGTGGCTGTGTGGTGACTTCCCCAGACACCTGGCCTCTCAGGGCCCATACAACCTTGCACCAACAAACCTTTGGGGGCTAGAAGGTATAATCAAACCCATGGATACTCCCAGAACTGTCTAGGAACTCTCTAGGCCTCAAAAGAAATAGAGGGAGGGGTCTCTCCAAGTATATATTGGGGATAGCCAGGTTCCCACAGCCTAAGCCAAAATTCTCTCTGCGGAATCACGTCAATGGTTGGGGGTTGGAGGTGGGGTACTAGATTCTGTCATGCAAGAAAAAAAAGCATGGCTGCAGTGGTGACACATGCCTGTAATCCCAGCACTCAGGAGGCTGAGACATGTGGATTGCTGCAAGTCCAAGATCAGTGTGGGCTACAAAGTGAGCTCAAGACCAACTTGAACTGCATGGGGAGACCGTCTCCAAAGACACACACACACACACACACACACACACACACACACACACACACAAGGCTGGCAGCCCCATTCTAAATCTATAGGTGCTTGCCACTGACTGGGCTGATGAACCTAGGAGGATGGAGAAGCTGGCCAAGGTAAACATAGATGGCAGGCAGGTGTTAAGGAGTGGGGTCCAAGCAGGTAGGTGGGGTGCTTTGGTGCCAGCACCCTCTGAATGAGGGCTACTTCCATCCTCTTCCTGCCCTCCCCACTGCATCTATGAGGCCTCTCTTGCCAAGATAACCCCACTCTAAGTGTGTCTGGGTTGTCCTTTGCCACACAACCCCTGCCCAACAATGGCCCCCAAGCCAGCCCCCCAAAACTGGAGAGCAAGAAGCCAGCAGTGCTTCATGACACAAACATGCATTCATTTTATTCACAAAACAGCCTGGTTTCCTAAAACAACACAAACAGCATGTTCATCAGCAGGAAGCTGGCCATGGGCAGGGGGCCCCAGGGAGCCCCTCTAGCACCCACCCCCACCGGCAGGGGATCACCAGAAAGGGCAATGAAGCCCTTTCTTATGCTGCCATTAGCAAGACCTGAAAAAAGGACTTAATTTTCTCTAAGTAGCCAGGATTGTAACTATCAAGACATGGGCTTGCCAGATCTCAGTGGATGAACGGACAGAACTTTCATTTTTCCAAAATCACCACTGTTAAGGGGGGAGGGTCCCAGTCAGGGCATGGTGGGTGGGCACAGCTAGCCTGGGCCTGGGGGTTGGGGATTCCCTCCCCCCAACAAGCTCCCACCAGCAGCTCCACACGCGAGGATGGGTACAGAGGGGCTTCTACACGGCGCCATCAACATTCTCTTTATAAACGTGAGTGGATTCTCCAGGCAAACTATGCACTATTTTCATGGTCAGAAAGAATCAAAGGAAGTTTAAATGAGGGCAGAGTTAAACTGTGCTAAATTACAGTAGTGCTTATTAGTAACTAGATTTCAAAAGGTTACAGAAAATTTACATTCTCTACACAAAAACAGCATCTCCTGCACAGACAACATCGACATCGACACAGGAAGGAGACTGATTGTCCATTCTTTGCCCAGGAAGTCTCGGTACTTTATAGATTCGTCTTTACCTCTTTTTTTTTTTTGTTGTTGTTGTTGTTCTTCCGAAAAAGCACTGAAAATTTTTTTCTTTTTCTTTTTATACTAGGGACGTGGAGATGTTAAAACGACAACAAAAAATATATATATAAAAACAGGAATGAAATCTGTGAGAGAATATTTTTGGTTCTAAAGACGGGTGCATCCGTTTTGTCTTCGCCCGAATCCCTTGCCGGAGACCACACGAGCAGTGACATTGCACGGAGAGGGCAGCTTTGGGTTCCCGCCGCCGTCACTGAAACCACCGGAAGGCGGCTCCCGTCGGAAGCATTACCTTCTAGCGGGGGCGGGAGACAAAAACAAGGAGAGAGTTCAGTCAGGGTCCTGGTGGGCCTGGCGCCAAGACGTTCCCTGTGGATGGCCTCATGGCGGAGGGAAAGGCAGCCACCCCAGCAGAGTTCCTGCTGTCCTGGCCAATCCAGGCCAGAGGAGAAGCCGTGACCTGCTGGAAGACCCTAAGCACCCTGAGGCTCCCGAGCCACTGTGCTCAGGAACCCTCCTTCCAGAGAGGCAAACTCCCCCTTCCCCTGGCCCAAAGACGCCAATACCAGGTGGCCATGGTGCATCTGGGCGCCATGTCTGTTTCTGTCAATGAGCGTGTGCACCAACTATGTACAAGGGTGTGTGCCTTGCGCTGTGCTAGGCTGCACAGTGGGCGTGGAGCAGCGTCGCAGGAGGAGGAAGAGGGATATCTAGCGCTTAACAAGCAGCTGAATCTATAATGGCAGTATGCGTACTGGGCAGGTATGTGTGTATCTCTACGCTGGAGCAAAGGGGTGCCTTTGTGTGCACACAGGCAAATAAACACACGAGGTCTGGGCCAGGGGAGAGGGTGGCCAGGAGGCCACAGCTGAGCCATTGTTCTCCAGCTATTCTGGAGATTTGCGTCAAGCCCTCTGGCAGAGGGGCAGGGACAGGGGCAGGGACAGGGGCAGGGACGTCAAGTTGAAAAGATGCTTTGTAACCAGGCCTGCCACTCCAGCTTGGTCGCCACATTGGGTGCACAGGGACAGGTCCTGCCACAAGAGGAGACAGAAAGCAGCATGGGAAGCTCTATGCCTTCTCTGAGTCAACTTCACGGTGGTCAGGCCTGTGCCTATTCCCCAGGCTTGTGGTCATCCCTAAACTAGGCCCCAAAATATGCCAACTAGACGCATAGACCCAGGGTTTTCTCAGGCCTCTAGGCAGAACAGCCAGCCCTTGGGTGGCCTGAGGGGAAAGCTAGGCTCAAAGGACAAGTGACGGGCTTATCCTCAAGGCCATAGGTCTGCAGAACAGACCTTCTCAATGGGGGCGGGGCAGTTCCACAATCTTAGGTCATCAGGGACTGATGCTTTAGGGCATGTCTGAGAGTCAGAAACTTAGGACCTAGATAGGAATCTCGATACCTGACCCAGACCTCAGGAGGGGCATCAGGATCCCAACGATAGGCCCTTGCAAAATTTGGTCTCCTGGGATCTCAGGATTTGGCTTTGACTTTTAGGGTAGTGAAAGTGTCCTTAAGTCAGACCCCAGGTCACATGACTGAGTGTCCCCCTAGACACACCCAGGCAGGAAGGGTGGGCTCTAGGATTGTAGGGTGGGTTTGGACTGCCAGACAGACACAAGAGCCCACACACCTCCCTCTAAGGTGCTGTTACCTCCAGAGCAGCGGAAGGCTTCTTTTTGAGTTCCTCACATTTTCTGAATTTGCAAATCTGATGGCCAGTCTTTCGGTTCCTACAACTGCTGCACTGCTCGCAGTTGATGCGCCGCCGACAGGGCGCACACATGCCACAGCGTTTCCGCTTCTTCTTGCCCGAGCTGATGGCAGAGGCCAGCTCTCCCTGCATGGGGTACTCGGCCAGGCCGGCCATGTGTAGCGCGCTCTCAGCCAGGAACACGCCCGCTGGGGTCATGATGAAGAGGCCCGGGTTGATGGGGAAAGCGCCCAGGTAGGGGAAATCGGACTGGCCGTTGAGGGCTTCGGCGCCTGCCACGGCCTCCATGTCAGGCAGGCCCGCCCCCGCCTCGCTCATCAGCGGGAGGTGCTCCTGCACCACCCGCTTCAGCATCTCCGTAGACTGTGCGAACTGCTGCAGCGTCAGCTGTCCCTCGGCTGCCAGCTCCGTGGCCCGCTCTGCCTTGCTCAGCAGGCTGGCCACAGCACCGCTTTTGTGCTTTGAGGTAGGGTTGCTTTTGTCCATTGCCATGGCCGCCGCGAGGTCGTGACCATTGGCCACCAGGGAGGCTGCAGCTGCGGCGGCCTTGTCGGCAGACTCCCCGCCCGTCAGGCTGCCACCACTGCCGCCACCGAAGGAAGAGTAGTGGGACAGCGGGCGGGAGCGCCGCAGGCTCTTGTTGAGGGGTTCGCTGATGATGCCACTCTTGTTCCGACGCTCAGGGGGTGGCGCGTCATCTGCCACCAAGGCTGGTGTGGTGGCTGCCACTGCTGTACTCTTGTCTGTCGCTCCTGCCTTTGGGCCGCTGCTGCCATTGGTGGTGGTGGTGGTGGTACTGCTGCCACTACTGCCGCCAGCATCCTGGGAGCCACCACCGAGGCTCGACATGGTGGGGCTAAGGCCCAGAACCCGCTGCTGAGAAAGCCTGCCAACTGCCAGGGGTTCACAGATGAGCGCCCAGCCCTGCTGCCTGCAACAGAGATGCCTGGTGGGCCGAGGTGCTCAGGGCAGGCACATGGTCAGGTGTCCACGTGGAAGTGTCTTTACTCTGTTGGGACAAGAGGGTACAGGGTCAGGGGAGCAGTAAATCCCTCCTTCTCCAACACTGCCACCATCACCACCTTATTGCCATAACAACCGCAAGCCAGATGAGGCGTCACTTAGTAAGTACCAAGACCTCTTTGGTTGAGAATTTTAATTTGTACTATCTCTGTTAAGACTCAGAAGCATCCTATTCCTCCATTTCATAGATGAGGAAAACAGAAGAGTACTTAATGGCTTAGATAAAAAAGCCTGGGAAGCTACTCCTAGATTCTCATTTGGAAATTTCTAGTATGTATCAGTTATTTCAAAGCTCTGACAGTTATTTCAAGGTAAAGGTACCTGGCTGCTTTGCTTAACCCATGGTCTGGCAATAGGGTACAGAATCTTGAGGTGTCATCTCCTGTCCTGCTCCAGGTCAAGCATCACTACCCCAGAGGACAAGCCTTCCCCTCTGAGAGGGCAAGGCCGGGAGGTACACACCAGTCCATACTCCCTCCTCGGCTCCCAAACCTCACCAGCATCTCAGCCCCAACTCCTGTCTCAACCTGGGCTTCAGACCTTTCAGGGCAGAGGCATACAAAGGCCTGGAGCATGGCACCTGCTAAGGTCCCAAAGAGAACTAGAGAGCTGCAGTGGACTGTGGCAGGATAGGTCTTGGTCTGGGACAGCCTGAAGCCAACAGTGGGTGTGACTCTCAAGGTGCCCCTTGTTGGGACAAGGTCTACTCGTCCCAAGGCGAAGGCACTGGGCTGGAGCTGCTGGCATCCATGCGGGGGAGGCACACGTCCAGATGGAGGGAGTGCAGTTTCCTAAGCAGTCCCAGTTGTCTAGCACCCCTGCCCTGCCTGCCGACTGTAACCCCGGAGCCCCCAGCAGAGGGGTGGGAAGGCAGAGCCCATCCCAACAGCTGGTGGCTCCAGGGGGAGGGGCACATCTGGTAAACCCTATTGGCACACCCTAGCCTAAGAGCAGGGAAATACTAGATCTTTGTCCCCAGACAACCCCATTATTCTCCAGTCTGACTGTCTTAGCTCCTCAGTCTGTCTCGTAAGATCAGTTAGTCCAACCCTCCTACTCAGAGTCCTCTGCTTCAGAACTGGCAAGGTGTGGTCACAAAGTGGGGATGTTGGCCAAGTGACTGTCAGGTATACCCAGCCAGGCCCTCCTGAGCCTCCACAGTGGGCACCAGCTCAACCTGGGTTGCCTAGCAAAGGCAGCTGGGTGCGGAGAAGGGCTGAGCAAGCGGACAGAGGTGACCAAGATAGACCCAGGAAGGCCTGGCAAGGTCCAGGCTGGGCTGGGGGTCAGGGACACAATAAGCAGAAAGAGATCACCTAGCAGAAGTGTTGCTGGGATGTGCAGCCTCCAGAGCCAAGTCCAGATCACACCTTTGGCTCTCCTCAGAGACTGTGACCCCTTCAGGCACCAGTGACCCCGTCTAGGTGTGGGGAGCCAGGGGTAGTGAGATCAGACCTGGTCAGAAACCACCAAGACACTACTGCTTCTAACTCCTGCTCCTCCCAGCACGACCACTGCGCCCTGAACCCTGATCCAGCAGGCCTACAACCAGGGGAGGGCAGGGGAAAAGGCAGGGTCTGTGGGCTGGAGAAGAGGGCAGAGAGCGGTCTGTGCCCCAGCCCCATGTGCGCCCCCACCTCTGTGGCCTGCTGGCTGGTGGCAGAAATCGATAGCTGCATTAAGGCTGCTCTTGCTCTGCTGCTCCCTCCCTCCTCAGCTCCAGGATCGGGCTCTGCGTGCAGGGCGGCAGGTCAATTAGAAGTCAGCTCCCTCCAACACAGCCGGCCTGCGCTGGTGCAGGCTGCTGCTCTGGGGCTCTGCTTTTGTCTCCATCCTGAGTCTCTCTCGGTGGGGAACGAACCCCAGGTTCTGTTCATCTCTGGTTCCCTCCTGGGATTCTCTCATTTTTGTCTTTTCTATCCTTCCTCAGGGACCATCAACCCCCAGCCTCCAGGCCTTGGGATACACTGAGCTTCGGACCAATGACGTGATATGTCACTGAACAGGTGCTGCAGGCAGAACACTGGCTTGTCAGCCTCGGAAGCTGAGGGTGGGAGAGGCTAACTTGAGGGGGGCTGGCCTCAAGGTAACTGTCCTCAAACCCACATGTAGTTCTCATGGCTGGTCCTCAAGCTCATTTTACTCTGCCCCATTACCTGGCTCATCTTCTCCTTCAGATCTTGGGAAAGCTGATGCTTTGGTCCCAGTGGACCCCCCTGAGCACAGGCTCCATCTGCCCTATTCACAGAAGGGGAGGCCACAGAGGTGACCTTCTCCTAGGCTACAGGACACATGGCAACCCCTCTCGGGCCAGGAAGGGCCTGGCAGTGCCCAGGCAGCAGGGGAGGAGCTGGGGCTGCGTCGAAGCGGAGCAGGAATGAGCGGGAGGGAAAGCTGGCGGGCGGCGGCGGGCGCATCCATCATCGGCCCTGCCAGGAACGCATCCAGCCCCCAAAAAGAAATACTGCGCCTGAGGAGGGACAACAAAGGGCTCCGTTTCATCAGCAATGCGGAGCCAGCGCCCCGCCGCCCCGCCAGCCGCGGTCAGCCCACAAAGGACCCCTTTGTCCATGCAGGAGCTGGCGGCCGGGAGCTGGGACCAGGGGCTGATGAGCAGGGACAGAGCTCAGGGGGCAGTGGAACAAGTCATGGAGAACTGAAGGGCAGAGGGGGATAGGGCGCAGAAGAAGAGACAGGTGGTGTGGATAGAGACTGGTGAGACAATTTGAGGGCTGGCACAGAGAAAAAGGGACCTAGAAAGGAGGGGCAAAAGATCAAGTTCAGGGGACAGTGGGTGGAGAGGGGACCAGGGACCAGCATGGTGGGGCTCAGAGAGAATCAGGGAACCTAACGTACCTAGCCCGGTCTCAGGGACTCAAGAGTCCAGAAACAGAAACAGAGCCCTGGGAAAGACAGTCCCGGAGACGGAGAAAGCAGCTGGACACGGCCGCAGGGGAAGGACGGGAGGCGAGAGGAGACCTGTCATGCTCAGGCTAAGGCCTAGGGAGGGGTGGAAGCAGGGATAGGCAGCAACCCGCTTTTGGCCTCAGGGGTCAGCTGCTGGGACCTAACACCTCCTGGGGTTGAGCTGAAATTTGGTTTGGATACACTGGAAAGAAAAGGAGTCATCTGCTGGCAGTGGGGACCACTCCCTGCCTCCAACCCCCAAAAGGCACAGACCCTGTTCCTCTCCGGAGCCACGTACAGGACCTGCCCCCTCCCCCCAGTCCCAAGGTTGACACTCAAGTTCCTTTAACTAATTGGCTACTTATTGAGTTCTACTGTTCCAGGTCGGTCTGACTGACTTGACTTTGACACTGAGTACAGAACCATGAACAGTGAGCTACATCCCGTCTTTTTTATTACGTTTGTTTTGAGACTCCCTCAGTCTCCCTTAGTTGCCCAGGCAGGCCTTGAATTTGCAATCCTCCTGCTTCGGCCTCCCAAGTAGTTGGGCTACAGGCATGTGCCAGAGCACCCAGTTATCCCAATGTCCTTGTGCTTGAAACAGACCTGAAGCCCTGTAAGGCGGTGCACACCTGTGATACCAACACTTGGGAGGCTGAGGCAAGAGGACTGAATTTGAGACCAGTCTGGGTTACATAGCAAATGAATTAATGAGCAAGTGAATGAATGCAACAAACCACCCCTAGGAGATGACAGCTACTGACTAACTTCAGAGATGAGGAACCTGAGGCTGGTAGGAAAGGTCAGCTGGTGCCCAGTAAGGGTAAAACTTAGTCACGCTGCTCTGTGACTACCTTTATTCTACCTGTGCAATTAACAGAGCGGCTCAGGGCAAGGTGACCCAGTCACCTTGTCACCCCCCCTCCAACCTGGGACTGTTACCATGCCGGTCACCTCTCCATGGTCAAAGGCAAGCTGTCAGCCTCCAGGAGAGTGCCCCCACCTGGGGGACTTGGAGACCACAGGCAGGAACCTGGAATGCTGCACCCGTGACATCACAGTGCTGGCAGGCAATGAAGTCACCAGAAGTGGTGGCAGTCTCCTCACTCTACCCTCAGCCCCAGAACAGCCTCACTTCATGTCCTGGAGGACTTGGTCCTGAACTCTACAGGAGGCAGCATTCCAGCTGATTTCCACCACGGGGACAGGTTGGTGCTGTGTGCACAGTCATGGGCACGAGTGTACCCCCCATTTGCCCCAACAGCAGCCCCATGCTCTGTGTCTGGGGGGCCAGGGGAGAACACAGACCCTGAGTGCGCAGAAGCTGAGTTAGACTGAGAATGAGACTGAGTGGGGTGGGGCTGGGGGTGGGGCTTAGGGGACAAGGGGTTGCCAGGCTGGGAGTTAGGAACAGGAGATGTAACAGAAAGTGACAACCTGAAAATGTTAGTAAGAAACAGGTGCAAGGTGTGGCTGTGCGCTTGGCAGGCTCCCAAATGGGTAGGGCCTTGAGGCCACTGGCAGGATTTTTGAAAACCATTTTATTGAGGCACAGCTTACATGCTATAAAATTCACCCATTTTAAAGGGTATTAATTCAACGATTTTGAGTAACTCCTTACTGGATTTCATTTAGTTATTGTGAGACAGGTCTCACTATGTTGCAGGCTGGCCTAGAACTTGTTATGAAGCCTAGACTAGCCTCAAACTCATTTTCCTGACGAGTACTGGAATTACAAGCGCATGCCACCCAATCCAGCCTGAGTAAAGTTTACAACTGTCCAATTGTTGTCACTCCTACCAAGGGCCAGGTTTGCCCAAGGTACCACCCTTTACTCCTGGCCGACCAGAGCAGCCTTCCAGGTCTCTCTGGCAACAAATGGAAGGGAGGCCTCCTGGAGGAGGCTGCAACTTGGGGACTCCAAGGCACTGGCCTGGAGGAGCCCACCATCACCACTGTCTGTGCGGGTGTGCGCTGCAGACCCTGCCCTGAAGTAACAGTATTTCACACAACCCCTTCGCTCCCGAAGCTCCCTCCCACTCCACCACCGGCCCACGTCCCACCCACCTTGGTGGGCTGGACTCCTTGACCTCTAAGGTGAAAGAGAGACAGACCACGGTGTGCAGGCATGCAGAGACCATAGGACGAACTGAGCTGAGCAGTGCGGGGCGAAAGGGGGTGTTCTGTCTCCGATTTCCATGATTCAGTCTGGGGAGTTTCCAGAGAGGAAAAAGCCCCGCTAAAGAGGGTGCAGGACATGCACACAAGGACACTGATCTTAAGAGGCAGAGAAAATGCTGCTCCAGCCAGAGACCACAGAACATGACCCTGCTCGGATGGACAGATGTATAATTGGCACACTGATCACTGTGCATCCCCAGCAGGTGGCCCCAAGAGAGACAATGCTGGGGCCTCCCGAAGACTAGCACCCCACAGCCAGCTGCCACGGACAGAAAGGGGCAATGCAGTCATACTTTACTGATCCTCTTGGGTACCTCCTCCCAGAGGCACCACTCCTCTGCCTGAAATACGCCGCCTGGACAAGTGTCTGAGAAAGCCACTGAGTATACAGTCTGTTTTCCTTACAGAGCTCCCCAAAATAGCAGAATCTGCCCATTTCACTGAGGTCCCAGGGAGACGGTCTGCTCCAAGCTGGGCTCCCAGGAGTGAGACAAGGACACTTCTGATTAAACAGGGCCTTCCTCAGTCTTCCTCGAAAGGCTCAAAGGCCCAGAAAGACCCCCTTTGGGATATGGCCTTGGAGTCCCTTTCCCCATGTCACACTGGACCATAAGGGTCATAGTTATGGAGGCTTCCTCTATGCTAGACACTATATACTGCTAACAGCCCCGGTCTGCAGGAAGTGTTACCCTATAAAATACTTTGTTGTTGCTTTTTGGTGTTGGGCATTGAACTCTAGAGGCTCATGCAAGCTAAGCAAGTGCTCTGCCTGGGCTACATCCTCTGGCCTTTTATGTATTTTTAAAATTAGTTTCTTGAGACAGGGTTTCACTATGGAGCCCAGGCTCATGATCCTTCTGCCTCAGCCTCCCAAGTAACTGGGAAATCAGGCGTGTGCCACCGGTGATACCGACTACAAAAGGCAATTTGATAAGCAGTTTTGATGTACAGAAGATGATGCCCTGCTCTCTGGGGTCCCCCAGGTTCTTGGAATACATATTTCCCAAAGTGGTGATGTTTGGGCTGATACTTATCTAAAATCAGAGCTTAGGGCTTTCCTCCTGGTGGCTCACCACAGGACAAGCCAAGAAAGGGAGCACAGGGGTTCCATCCTTCCAGGGCTCCTGGGTGGGGCATCTGTGGTGGTGGCAGCACAAGTCAACAGAAACGGAACTGGAGCCCTAGGGTTTGGGTTTGTGGCTCCGCCCTTGTTGTCTGTAGACTTTAACCAAGTCCTCTTCCCCAATGACCCTCAGTTTCCCATTTGTAAAATGGGCAGTAGTTCTTCCTTCTCATCCCAAACTGCAGGGACTCATGAGCTTATGGGGCAGGGATCCCATGGTCCTATGAGGCAGAAAGAAATAGGGAAAAAAAAGATTCGAAATAGCAACTCACCATCCACTCTGCAAGTCCCAGAAGGTCCAACACAGCAGTGATATGTTTGTTTGGTGTATTTTCTTGTTATTATTTATTTTGAGATAGGTCTTGTTATATAGTTCAGGCTGATCCAAAAGTGACTATGTAGCCCAGGTTGGCCCTAAATTTGCAGCAATTCTCCGGCTGCAGCCTCCCAAGTGCTGGGGTTACAGGTACCAACCGCCACACCTGGCCTAGCAGTGATATGGTTTGCAGGTAGGGAAGCACATCTAAAGGTAAGGATTGAGCAGGAGTGAGCCTGAACTCCAGATGTTATGCATCTTCCTATGGCAAAGGGCATCTAGCCCTTCTCACTCATTTCCCCAGAGGACACGACAATAGCAGGACCTATTAACACCATCACGCTCTGCCAAGCACTGTGTTAAGCATTTTACGTTCATTTTATCACTAGATTCTATTACCCGTTATTGTTATCCTCATTTTACAGATGAGGGAACTGAGGCTCAGGAAGACAATGTCACCTTCCTAAAATCATAAGATCAGCAGGTGGCAGAGCTTGGATTGGAACCCAGGTCTGAATGACCCAGGGCCTGCCTCTCCAACACTGGCCGAAGACTCAATGACACATGGAGGGACTTCAGAGAGAGGATGAGGCTTAGTTCAGCTCTCAGAGCAAACCTCAAATTTCTCGTAGTCTCTGGGGTGGTACTCAGGCTCTGGGTAAATCACACTAGGGCACCATTGCTGAAGAGTCTGCAGCTGTACCCCAAGGCCCAGGAAAAGAAGGGGAAGGGGCTGCGGGTGGGCTGGACAGCCCAGGCTGGGCCAGAGCTCCGGGCATTCCGGCAGCCTCCGCAGGAAGCACAACGGGACGGAAACCGGCTCCTGCCGCCTCCCCCAGAATCCTGCGGGCAGCCCAGCCGGCCGTACAGAGGCCCTCTTTGTGCCTGCCCCAACCCGCCACCCGCGGCTGGCCCAGAGTTTTGAGTTTCCTGGGGGGTGGAGGCTCAGTCACCACTGAGCCTCCAGCCACCTCCTCCTCTTGGGGGCAGTCACAGCTGGAGGAGGAAGTGATAGCCAGGGCAGCCCCAGGGACTGGGGGGCCTGCAGTGCACCCACATCTCACTCCCCCTACATTTATACATCCTAGTTAAGGGCGGAGGAGTCAGAGCAGCGAGCCCGAGGCTGCTTCCTCGATGGTGACAGCCACCAAGCCCATTGTGACCTGGTGTATGCATCTGTCCTAGCACCATTTCTCACTCAGCAAGCAGAGGCCTTCCTCAAGCTCTCCTCCCAGCATTTCAGGGACCCTTGGGTGTGAGTGTCGAGTGCAGTGTGTCATGAGGAGCAGCACTTTGTAAAAATGCGTTTGTGTCTACCAGGAAGTGTGTCAGGCAACTGCATGTTATGTGCGTGCCTGTGTCTGGTAGGTTGTGAGCATGCCTTGTCTCAGATGTCACCCTCTGTGGCCTGGAGCATACAGGGTTCATATACCAGAGCAGGTGGAGGTATCTGACTGGGAGAAGTCCACCTTTTGACCCTCATGTATAAGGTGGAGGTCTGTGCTAGCCCCGGTCCTAAGAATGCAGACACCCAGAGCACAGAACAAGTACTGTGGTTTGTTTATGCGGTGGGTGGATGTATGTGGGTGGTTCTGGCCTGCTCCTGTCACCCTGGATTTGCCGTGAGAACACTAGTGTGTGCATACTGTGAGCTATGTCAAGGGTCTTGGGAGACACGTGAGCTGGGGCCAGACTGGGCTGAGGACAGCATGGGTAGGGAACTGGTGCCAGCTTCTAGGGCCCCAGTGGAAACAGGAAGCTGCTCACAGGTGCACCTGGGCTGCCCTGGGGGTTGGGCTCCACCCAAGTTCAGTGTGTCCCCCTGAGACCAAGTCATGGTTGCACCAGCTGAGAACCCATCCAGCCCACGAGGGAGGCACCTGTCTTGTCTGCTGTTCAAGGTCCAACAGCTCTAGCAGCATCCACCAGCCTGCCTGGCCTGAGTGTGGAAAAAACTGGAAAACAAAAGCCCCCAGACCGCAGGCCCTCCCTGCAGAGGCGTGGGGGAGACAGGCGAGACGAGAGAGAGGCTGAGAGGGAGAGAGGGAGAGAGGGAGGGAGGGAGGTGTCGCCGCAGCAGCCCCGGAACACAAAAATAATGAGGCGAGAGGGGCCATGGGGCCGAGCCGGCTGGTTCCGGAGTCGCTATCTGACCTTGACAGATGCCACAGCTGGGCGCCTGGAGAGGAGCTGCAGCCACCCGCTGCCACCACTGCTGCAGACCCCCACTCCCCCAGGCCAGGGTCGATGAAGGCTCAGGCAGGCCAGCCACAGGCAGCCCCCCACCGGGCAGGAGCTGGGAGACCTCAGTGCACCTCCCGGAGGAGGGTTGGGGAAGGCGGCCGCAGGCAGCAGCAGGGTCTCCTGAGGGTGCCCAGCCCTCAGGTGTGGCTGTGTGTGTGAGAAATACAGAGCTTGCCATTGTGCTGGTGGACCTACCAGCTGAGTATGTGTAAGGAGAAGCGGAGTGTGAGTGTGGGTGTGAAAGATTGTGTTTGTTACTGTGTCCTTGGGCCACACAAGGCTGGAAGGGATGGACTAATGTTCCTGAAATGGTGCAGATGCATCACTCAGGGGTGGACATGGATCACTGCCCCACCCCCTTCCGGAGACACGGCTGTCCTGGTGGGTGCAAAAGTCACACTAGGGCTTGAGGTGGAGTGGGGGACAAAGACAGCCACAGCCATCCTGGAGGCCTGTCACTTGCAGGCAGAGGACAGGCACCCCATGGCCTCTCCTAATGTGTACTTTCTCCCACTGTGGCGGTCATGTCCTGGGCTCCCAGAGACAGGCACAGGACTAGGCACAGCCACTCCAGAGATGACAGCAAGGGACTAGGGTGCAAGCTGCAGGAGGGGATGATGGGCTGGAGGTGGATTAGCAATTCTGAGCACTGGCTGCATAATTAAAAAATCATTACAGCAGGCGGGCGGGCAGGCAGAACGAGTGTGAGCTCACGCTTGGAGCAGGCGGGGACACAGCCACGGTGCTCCCCCTCAAACCACTTCCCCGAGGAAAAATCCCACCTGCTAATATAATTATGGAAAAACACAAGCACGGAAATTCTGCTTCAGCAAACAACGTGCCTGAATGCCCAGGGACTGCCTTGCCCCCAGCACAGCTGGCAGGCTAGTAACTGGCCCCTAAGGCTCACGCAGCCAGGCAGACACTACCAGGTCCCAACTGTGACTTCCACACCCTCAACAGCTCCCATGAGATGGGAGTGAGAGGTCTAGAACATCCAGCTCCTCAAATCCAAATCTAAGAGAAAATGGGCTAGGCACGGCTGTTTACAAATGGGGAAACTGAGGCTAGAGTCCGCATAGGTCACTGTGTGTTTGCAAAGCTGAGGTCCCCCTCTTCTCTAGGTCTCTTCCTCTCTGCCTGAGATAGGCATCTCTGTCCCTGAGACTGGAAGGGACTTGTCCTAGCCTTGCACCCCAGCACCTTCCAGAGCTGTACCCCTCATTAGGAGTACGTACAGACCCCAGGCTCCAATCCAGACACAGGGCATCCTGGCCTCGTCTGGGTTAAAGCCAGGCAAGCAGAGCTGGCTCAGGCCCGAGAAAGGTGGCCAGCTCTGGGGCACAGGCCCCAGAAGGGCAGGAACAACAGCCGCCATCACCTCAGGCCTGGAGCGGGCAGCAGGCAGCGGGTGGTGCGGGAGGGAGCCGGGCCTAATTAGTCTGCCTGGGACCCAGCAGGCGCCGGGGAGGCAGACGCACAGGCACGTCCGTCCGTGGCCTGTGGCCGCTCCAGGCGGCGGGCAGCCGGGAGGCCAAGGCGCCCCGGAGAGTGGCGGCCAGGCGACCTGGGAAGGCCTGGGCCAAGGAGACTCCACAGTAAGCAGGCCTGCCTCCCCTCACTTCTCGGTGCCACCAGGCGCAGCAATTAGAGGCTTTCAAAGTTTGTCCTTAATTGGTTTCATTTTTGCCTCATAAATGATTCATGGCCCTGGAGGTCTGGGAGGCGGAGGGAGTGGCAGGGGAAATTTGGGGAGGCTTTCGCCTGGGGCCACCTCTCCCACACCTGAAAGTGGGGAGGGGGCTGTGCCCCAACCCAGAGGACACAGAGGGGCTGGAGAAGCCTTGGGCAGGTGGGACCCTGAAGCCAAAGTGAAAACCCAGAGCCTCTCCTTGGAGCACTAATTAGAAACTGCAACTTCTCTTCTGCAGACCAGAGCTCTAGGTCCAAGCCCAGCTCGGCAGCTGCTGGGCCCTGCGAGCATGAATAATAATGTGATAACAAAACAGCAGCGCCACAGTAGTCATAAAGATGGCAAACGCTTGCTTTCACTGACTGGGTCCAGGCACCGGCTAGGAACAACACAGGTATTATCCCTTCTTACCTCCCTAACCCCAGCACTGTGAGACAGGTTCCAGGGTCCCTGCTGTTCAGATGAAAAAACAGGCTTGGAGATTTAACACCTGCTCTCTGACCCTCAGCCTGATGCCAGAAACCTTTATCCCCAAGCTTTCAGGGAATCAGAGCTCAGGGGACTTCAGGAAATCTGGAAATGGTCCTGATGTCTGAAAAAGTCCCCAGAAGGCACCAGGTAGCTCATCATATCTGTCCAAGGCAGGCTAGCTAGATAGCTGTCCCTCCCTCGACTCAAGCTCACAGGCTGTGTGAACTTGGCTGAACAATGTCCTCACACGACCTTAACTGACCCATCTGTAAAATGGGAACACAGAAGCACCATGGCCCACCTGGAACATGCCAACCCAGTGCTGGGCACTTGGATACAGAGAGATGCCAGAAACTCCACCCCAGGTTGCTGCCAATCTCAGGGATACATGCAGAGAAGGTCAAGAATCTTGTACACTTCTTAGGGCTAGTGCAGTGGGGTAGGGAGAGGAGGAGATGTCAGCTTCTTCCCTCTGAGCACACTCTGGTGCCCACACAGGGCTGGAGGTCTGATCTTGAAGAAACCCAGAACTATGGACCACACTAGATGACGTGAGATGCAATGCCAAGTGCCTACCTTGGCCTGCCCACAAAATCAACTGCAGGACCACCTGGCCCCCGGAAATCCCAGGAGCATGGTAATACGCTAAAAAATTCTGGAGAATCAGGAGTGGTCGCACACACCTGTAATTCCCAGCACTCAGGAGGCTAAGGTAGGAAGACTTGAGTTTGAGGTCATCTTGGACTATATAGGAAGAGCCTATCTCAAAAAAAATCCAAATAAATAAACTAAGTGATTTAAAATAAAAACCCTGGAGTGGGTAGAGGATGGATTGACTCCCCAACTCAGGGCTGGTAACTCTTTCGGTGTCACACACTGCCACTCCTTGTGACACTTTTCAGTGCCCTGTCCCAAACACATGTACCAGGATACCCCTCTAAAACTGCAGGAGCACAGTCCCAGGCAGTTCTCTGTTTCTCTCAGCCTGCCTCCACCAGATGGTGAAACAGCCTGGCACCAGGGCCTAGACACTCAAGAGGGTACACCTCCCTGCACCACACCCTGCCTCCTGGGGATATGATTACCCCCATTTCTCAGGTGAAGAAAATGAGGTTCAGAGACACTAAGAGACCTGCCAAAATGGTGCCTGACGTTTTGTGTTCATGGTCCTGGGGACTGAACTTAGGGCTTCCTGTACACGAGACAAGTGGTCTACCATGCAGCCACAACTCCAGTCCACTTTGAGAATCTGTTTCTTACCTTGGTGGCCTCCTTGGAGAACCAGTATCCCAGCCCTATTCCTGGCCTGGTCATCTCTTGCCCCAGCCCTGGTCACTCTTTGACATGGTCTCACTATGTAGATCAGCTTGGTCTTGAACTCACTATGCAACTCTGGCTTTGCTCAAATGCATAATGACCCTCCTGCCTCAGCCTCCTGAGTGCTGGGATTACAAACATGCACTCCCACGTCCAGCTCCAGCCCTGACTCCCTTTCCCCTGTCTAAACAAAAGATTGCCCACACTCCAGTAGAAACTAGGATTGGCACAGCTGAAGCTCGTGATCAAAGACGCTGCAGAGGCCTCCTCCCTAATCCCAGCTGAGGACTGAACAGGGCAGTAGAGGAAGCTCCTCCACATCTCCGCGGGGAACCACCAATGTCTGTGAAGGGCAGTGGGGTGGGGAAGGCAGCAAGTGATGCTAGGGTGACAGGCTGGCTAGCACAGCTATGCTCTGTGGTCCCATTTACCATAGTACACGCTCCTGGGAGGCAGCTGCCTGTGGGACTCCAACAGCTGGGATGTTCATCCCTCAGACAAGAAGCTAAGCTTGATGCTCCGCTGCCCACCCCACTGAAGAGGACAAGTCTGTACCCTGGGTCCAACTGTGTTCCTGCCTCCTGCTCTCTGGGAGAGACTTTGAGACCGAGACTAGTGGTTTTCCTTTTAGAAGAATCGGAACAAACATGGACAGTTGCTTGCTGCACACATAAACAAGTGGCTGAGTTCTTTTTTTTTTTTTTTTAAAACGGTACCGGGGGTCGAACTCACGACCGCCTGCTTGCAAGGCAGGTGCTTATGCTGCTGAGCTAACTCCCCAGCCTGTGGCTGAGTTCTTAGTACGAAAGTTCATCCTCGGCAGGTCCAGTCAGCAGGCTCCACCCACATGCCTCACTCGGCCCAGAGACTCCTCTGCCCTTTGCTCCTTGCTGCCCTTCTACCTGTGCCAGGGCTGCCCAGTCAGGTCACTGGCGATCCTCTCTGCAGCCTGCCCAGGAAGGTGCACCTCTCTGGTGGGTCAGCGCTGACGTCAGCAAGACTAGCAGGGCATGGAGTCTGCCACCTCCAGAACCACCAATTAATTAACTTTTTCAAATTAATTTCCCAAGCAAAATTCCATAATTACATCTGTGTCTACCAGCCCAAGCTCAGCAGGCAAGAGAACCCCACAATGCGTGGGACTCGGGAGAGAAGTGGCCATACCAACCCTGGGACCAGGTCAGGGAGGCCACCGGGGGGTTTGGTTTCAGTATGACGGAGCATCTGCCAGTCACTTTTGATTCTAGCTGGGTGGGATGGGCTGAGAGGCTAAGGCCCCTCAGTCAGAAGGTGGGGGGTCAGATCCGGCTCATCCTGCTACCCTCCATCCCCCCACTGTAGTGCCCCCAAACCACAGCAGGTCCTGGCAGGGCCCAGTAGCAGCACAGGTGCTGCGAGGCTGAGGAGGCCATGGCTGCAGTGTTCTAATTTCCCAAAGGGGCTGAGATTAATTAGCTCACACACAGGCGCAGAGAGGAGAGCGGGAGCAGGGGCGGGCAGTGGCAGGCGAGGAGCTGGCTGGCGCTCCCCCCACCTGCCACCCGCGCCCAGCAGGCAGTCAGGCGGCCTTGACAGCCTGGGTGCTCTGAAGGTCAGTGGCCAAGCAGGCTGAGCCAGCAGACTGGCACCGTCTCCTTCCCATAATCCTCGAGACCAAGGCTGGAGGGACAGGAACCAGGAGGACAGTGGGGGGAAGGGGAGGATCGCTGTCACCACCATCTTGTCTCACCCTCACAGCAGCCCAAGGAGGTAGGCGCCACGTCTTCCATTTCACAGATGAGCACGGAGAGGCTCGGGTTGTGCAGTAACCAGCCCAGGTCACCCAAGCTGTGGACAGTAGAGGTGAGCCTGAAATGCAAGTTGGGCCAACCCTACTCCCTGGACCCCTGTGCCCCTGACAGAGTGACAGGAGCCCTGTGCCTGGGGAACCTGGTGTCTGTATGTGGGGAAGGAACTTACCACGGCCCCCGGGAATGTACAGGGTAGTCAGGTCATTTCACAGATGAAGAAATTGAGACCAGAAAGGGGAAGCAATCCAAAGCGGGGACCAACAACTTTCAGCAAAGCCAACCTGACTCAGGGACATCCTTCTTTCTTCCTTCCTCCCTTCTTTTTTTCTTTCTTTCTTCCTTCCTTCCTTCCTTACTTACCGGGGATTGAACTCACAACTGCCTGCTTGCAAGGCAGGTGCTTATGCCACTGAGCTAAATCCCCAGCTTGACCCAAGGACCTTTAGTGAGTGCCTCCAGGGCCATGTGAAGTTCAGGGCTGTCCTTAGCTAGGTGGCAAACTGACCAGAGGATCACTGTGGCTGCCCCTGTGCCCTGAAGAGGAAGCACCCACTTAAGGGGACTTTCTCAATTACCATCTGCTGGGCTCCCCACAGATAGGAAAGGAACCCCCAACACGGTGGGAGACGGGGAGGTGTGTGACCCTCAGCAGGCCCCTAGGTGGCTCTCATAAGCCTAGTAATGGTGTCTCCAGGACTTGCCCACAAGGACACCTTTGTGACCCCAAGGGTCAGCAAGCTGCTCCCGGGGCTTCCCTTGCTCCCAGCCCCAAGAGAGACAATCCTCTGGCCAAAGCTATGGCTAAAGGGGCTCACCCTCTTGAGAGCTAAAGGGTTAGCTATCCCAAGGCTTGTGTGGGTCAGATACCTCCCGGTAGACAGCAGAAGGCCTTAGACAGCGGTGGGGCTGGGCATGGCGGGGAGGAGCCGGCCCAGCTGTGGACATTGTCCATCACATGTAACAGGAGAGGGGAAGTTCCTCAGCCTCCGGCTCAGGCCACACAAAGGTCCTGTCGGCTCTGGAGTGAGAGACTGTCTCTACTGCTCTGCAGCCTCCGACCTAGGCAACTGCTGATAAGTTGCTCAGCCCTGCTGAGCCCTGTCCTGGGCACTGAAATGCAGCCTCTGACTCCAACTGGAAGGGCCCTGGAGACGGCATGTGTAAAGCTGTTGGTGCGGTGTGGGCATGCTGGTGCTCAACAAAGGGTAGCTGTGTTATTTTTACTTTCACCATCTGCCAGCATCAAAGTGTCAAGGCCGGCCCAGGCCAGGGGTGTCAGATGACCCGGGCTGAAGCCCCAGTTCTGCCTGGGTCTGCCTGCAGGCTCTAAGCCAATCCCTCAGGCCAGTTTTCCCAGCCCCAGATACGAGCAATCCTCAGTCGCTAACCTGCAGGTCCACAAGTAGATGTGTTCCGAGTCTAGCTTGCCAGCCTTCCTCCTACATCCCTGACCGTCCCTCTCCTGCCAGTTTCCACAGTCCCAGCAGCCCCTCTTATAGGCACATGGCCAAATCTCTCCTCACCTAGCAAAGGTCCCACTTGTCACCTGGAAGTTCCTGCTCAAGTGTATCTTTGTTTTTTCTTTTTTGAGACAGGGTCTTGGTATGTAGATTGGGCTGGCCTTGAACTCACTATGTAATCCAGGATGGTCCTCGTAGCAATCATCCTGCTTCAGCCTCCCAACGACTGGGATTACAGGTAAATGGTACCATGATCGGCTCCCTCAAGTGCATCTTGTTATGGCCTTACTGTGTGAACACTGGGTTGAAAAACACAAAAAGTCTCAACTATGGTCGCCTCTTTCCTCTCATATTTGAAGCCTCTAGAAACTTCCCCAAGGATCCTGGGTTCTTCTACCCTGAGCCCATTGCCTGCCATTGCCAGCCCTGTAGCACCCATTCTGACTAATGACACCCAGAAAAATTTCAGCTTTGGCAGAGCAGATGGGGGGCAGTAGACTCCCCCTGAAGATCTAGGTACCTCACCATTTACATTATGTTTGCTTTTGTTTGTTTTTTGCAGCGTTGGGGTGTTGAAATCCATGGTCTTACATGTTAGCATGTGTTCTACCACTGAACTACGATACACCCTAGTACCACCTATTTACTTTAGGTCCTATAGCTTTAAGACAAAGATGAAAGACTGGGGATACAAATTAGAGGTACAGTGCTTGTGTAGCACCTGAGGCCTTGGGTTCAATTCCCCGCAACACTCCCACAAGACGAACACACACACACATGCATGCAAACAACAGGTGAGGTTCAAAAAAGGTAGACAGGACCACAGTTACACAGCAAGGAGCAACCTGTCCACCCTAGGAGGGATGTCCAGTCTTCCTGCCTGGCCATTACTCCATGCTTCCTCAAGAGGCCCGGCCTCTCTTCCTTGGCCACTGTCCAGGCCTTAATGGCAGAGACTTGAGTGGCTAGGGCACTGCCTGGACCCCGAGTGATGTATACCTGGGGGTTAGGAGGCGACATCCAAAGCCATAACCACCCTTAATCACTAGGAAGTCATCCCCATCAGACTTAGTTCTTTCACCTTAATAAGACTTGTTTTTCAGGACATAGAAATGTGTATGCTCTCAGGTCTGTCTGTCTAGGACGGCAGGCCCCAATTCCAGTGGAGGACAAAGATTTTACAACTA